TCCCTGCTCGGCAGGGAGTCTGCTTCTCCCTCTGACCCTCCCCCCTCTCGTGTGCTCTCTCTCTATCTCATTCTCTCTCAAATAAATAAATAAAATCTTTAAAAAAAAAAAAACAAACAACTATAAAACTCTTAGGAGTAAATCTCTATAACCTTGAATGAGACATAGCTTTCTTAGACATGGATCACACATGTGTTTGTGGTAGGAATGGTATAGCCACTTTGAAAAATAGGTTTGGCAGTTCTTTGAACACTGAAAATGTACTCACCATACAACTCAACAATTCTTGGACATTTATCCCAGAGAAAGGGAGACTTCTTTCCATGCAGGAAATTGTACAAGAATGTTCATAGCAGTTTTATTTATAAGAGCCCCAAACTAGAAACTATCCAAATCTCCTTTAATGGGTAAATGGCTAAACAAACTGTGATACATGTATACCATGGAATACTACTCAGCAATCTAAAAAGAAAAAGAAAAAGAAAAAAAACTGTTGACACACACAACAACTTGGATAAACCCCAGGGAAATTATATTGGCAGAAAAAAACTAATCCCAAAAGGATGCTTATTGCCTGATTCTATTTATGTAACATTAATGAAATAACATAATTACAGAGATGGTGAATAGACTAGTGGGTGCCAGGCAGTTAGGAATGAGGGGAAAGGGTGGTTCTTACCAATGTCAATTTCATGGTTTTGGTATTACACTGTAGTTCAGTAAAATGTTAACTTTGGGGGAGATGGAGGAAAGGATGAGTGTGGCTTCGCTGTACATTTCTTTGCAACCTCCTGTGAATCTGTAATTACTTCAATATAAAAGTACACATTTTTTCACATATATATGAATATGTATATCTGAAAAGTATACATGTATATAAATATTGAAGATACAATGTATGAAAATTGTGGGGAGAGAGACATCATCAAAACGGCAGAATAGGCAACTCAAACTCCCCTACCTCCACGGAAACTTTAAATAATAACCAGCAACTGTCAGACCAACTTTGTCAGAGCTCTGAAAAATAGTCAAAGGTTTATAGCAACCAAGCAAATGTTTAATCCAAAAAAAAAAAGACAACCTAAGAATGGTAAGAAAACTTTATGGTACTTTCACTTACCCCTGCCGTACTCCCCCCTGACTTGGCAGCAGTCTTGAAGACAGCAGCCTACCTTCCCAGGATGGAGCCCTGGTACCTGGAAATCATTGTGTTCCTCTGTTCTAACCTTCCTGGGAGCTAGCTGAAGGACTAATGTAAGGCCTATCTCTGTTTTGCTTAACCTGAAACCCACAATGGAAAAGCCGCAGACATTGCTTGAA